TAGCAAAATTCAGCTGAACTAGCTCTGGTATAGGCTAAGGGTTCCAGGGTCCCAGCGCCACATCCCCACCCAGAAATTCCCAAAGTACCCCCCCAGGCATTACATCCATAAAACATTTAGTGTAAGTATTGGAAGCATAGTTCCCATACCGTTGAAACATCTCCAACTTTGATATTCAAAGGTTCTTCCACAAAATTGAAAAAATCGTTTGGTGTTTGCTGCATGAACAAAAGAATGAACATTTTTTAATTATTTAATGCTGTTACAAATATCTCACACCATGTCTGGTTCTGTGGTGCAAACGCAAGCGGCTATATATGTTTCAATTTGTAAGATTAAGGCTAATGAACAGTACACAAGTTTTGGTTCAACATTTTTTCAACTGGTTTGAATTTGTATTTCCCACAATGATAATGAATATGAGAGAAAGGGAAATAAAACTTGAACTGGTTTAAAATTGTTAAAGCAAACAGTAAATATTGAACCATAACATATACAATAACAATAAATAAATAAATAAATAATTATAGTTACATATTACCTTAAAGCCTGGTGGTTCATAATCTGGAGGTGTAACTGTGAAAAAAGGGCTTGAAATGTAAGGCATACTCTAAATACAAAATGCTTCAGGCAGTGACAAATACATGTATTCACAGCATCAAGTAAATTCCACTTACTCTCATCATAGTACAGTAGCTTCATTGTCATCATTACATCATCTAAAAGAGGTGACAAACATTTCACAATTTAGATAACGAAAGATAATTACACTGTGTAAAGTTGCACAAGATATGTAACTATAATAAGATTTGGAGAGACCGTTTGTTTTTAAAGCTTCTTTTTTCTTGTTTCTGAATTACTGGACATTAAACCAGGTATTTAAGAAATTTCTATAATGTATGAAAACTTACAGAATGTTGTTGTAAGATGTCAAAGGCTTGTATATTAACATACCTGGAAGTGAGGTCAAAGTCTGACTGAGAAGAATTATTGTTCTGCAAATGAGAATGTTGGATTAAGTGTAGTTTTCAGTTACCGTATTTTACGTCTATTGGTTACCAGAACAGTGGCAAAAAATTTGCATTTGCCATCAACAATTTGCTGTAAAGAAAGGGATCATTTCATTTCTTTATTAATTCTGTAGGTACCACTATGTTTGCTAGTATAAATTGAGACATTTGCATTTCCTAATTTGTTAGATGTGGCTTATGTAATTCACATTCACTGTCATTAAGTACATATCTTTACAAGCTGGCATACTGACAATAAGAAGGACTGGCTTCCTAGTTAAATTTGAAAATCCATACTTTTTTGACCAGTATCAAAATCTTGGAAAAAATACCTCAGTAAGCGTATGGTGGCCTTCTTGGTCTCTGTTTCTGTGTGAGCACTTGCAATTTTATTTCCATTCCTAGCAAAAGATGGAATGATAAAACTCACATGTCCTTAGAAATCCGCTTCTTAACTAAGAAGACAAGATTTTTAGTTTGCTACTCAAACCATTGAACAAAAGAAATAATTTTTCAGAAAGAAAACAAAATTATGTAATTTAGTAGTTTTACCTGAAGATGCTGACTTCATTTGCATTATAAGAAAACTACAAAAGAAAATAAAGACCAAATTACCAATATCTAACTAACAAGAGACATTGAAGAGCAACTATTGTCTATAAGTGATGTTGTCACACCCTACCTTAAAGGTGTAAGATTCAATGACGGTCTACAGAAACATAACATAAAAGAGTTAATATTTTTCATATTTTTCATCCTTATTAGAATATGCCTTTTTCATTGAAAAACCAGCAGTGATACATCAATCATGCATGTTTGAATTAGAATTCATCATTGTTTCAACCACTGCTTGCTTCTTTACTTACATCAGGGTTATCAGCATCACCATAAATCTGTTTCAGATAAAAAAAATAACATTTCTTAGCAACTGCTTATGCACAATTTTCAATTCAAGAAACTGTTTTAAAACTATGTGATACTCACACCAATAATAATCATCCTGAGCTGGAAAAAGGTAACAAGAAAATAAAATTAGATGTGTCCTCATTTTGTTTTAAAATCACTGCTAAAAATGAATATTTAGAT